AAAAAAAAAAACAGGTACGAGAGTGCATGCTTCTCTGTCTGTGTGTGTGTGTGTGATAGTGAGAGGAGTAGAAGGATGGTTCAGAAAACGAGATGTATTCCATTACTTGGTGTATCGCAGTGGGTAGTATATGTGGAAGAGAGGAAAAGTAAAGAACAAATAGAAACAACAACAACAACAAAAAAAAAGAATAGATGAAAAAAAAAAAAAAGAAAGGTAGAGAGATAAGGGAGAAAAAAGAAAAAAAAAAGTGAAATGTACTGGTACAGTATATATTGGTGAGGGAATTAAAGGAATAAAGGGATATATATATATAGCCAAATAGGACAAGTTGCTGCTTAATTCTGTGTGTTAAAATAGAAAAAAAAAAACAAACAAACGAACAAAATAGGAAAACATTCATTTATTTATTTTAAAGAAGAAAACATATATACGTATGTGTATGTGTATGTGAAGAGTGGTGTTTCTTGTGTTTTCTCTTTGCGATGATACAGTCACACACACACACACACACACTCTCAAACAGACATATACATACGCACTCAAAATACACACACATATATATAGCTCTTGTCCCTTTTTTTTAAAATTTTATTCCTTGAGTACCGAGACCGTTGTTTTTTTTTTTTTCCACATTTTTATGATTCCTTTTCTCAAACCTTTTTTTTTTTTTCTTTTTCTTTTTTCTTTTCTAAACATTGTTGTTGTCCTTTCTCTCGCAACGTGGCGATAGCACTGTATTCTTTTTTTTTTTCTCAAATAAATTCCCATTCCTTCTTACATACTATTTTTTTTTTTTTTTTTTTCTTCTTTGTACTCTTTTATTTTGAATTTCTTTCTCGATTTGCAATATCCCCTTTTTTTCTATTTAATTACCCTAAATTTTTTTTTCTTCTTTTTTTTCCCCCTTCTCCTTCTTTATGAATTCTAACTATTCTTGTTTATGTATCGTCTTTATACCACAAAAAAAAAAAAGGAAAATAGAAAAGACGGTGTGAGAGTTATGCGCAAACGGGTAACTCATGTGAACTACACACTTGGCTGCAGTATAGTAGCCCCCATGCAGTACGCCCAACGGATGTATTTCCACCACCGTTCTAGTTATAATAGTAATAATAGCAGTAATAATAGTAATAGTAGTGGTATTTATAGTTCTAATAAATGCTATTATTATCATTACTATCCTTCTGCGCAGCAGTTCTGTTCAACCCGTGGTGTGGTGTTATTACGTCCACACCGTCGCCATTGCGATCTTTTCATTCTCTGCGGTTGTGCCCGCATGGCGAGTGCTGGTGTTGGTGGTGGTGGTGGTGGGATGAAGGATGTGGATGCGGCTGGGAAGGATCTTGATGTGTTGGACTCCTCCAAGCCGGTGCACATCCGCGTGGCGGAGGCCCGCGACTCGCAGGTGTACACCATGCAGGATTACATTGAACGCGATGAGGCCCTCACACGATCCGCACAGACACTCAGCGGCCGCATCTCCGACGTCCGCGATAATCCGGCGTGGATGTTGTGGGCTCTTTTTCTTCTTGGACTTGGTGTGATGACGGTGGTGGTGTCTATTCGTGTGCGGCGTGAACAGATGCGGTTTGATCCGAAATTGCGATCGGTGCGGGCCTTTGATTCCCCGCAGGGTCCAAGTATTGGCGGCCCGTTTTCTCTTCTCGGCGTGGATGGCCGTCGGTATACAGATGAGGACTTCCGCGGTAAGTGGATGTACATCTACTTTGGCTTCACCAACTGCCCGGATGTGTGTCCGGAGGAGATGGCCAAGATGAGCCGCGTTATTCAGCATCTCGACAAGAAAGTTGGGCGGGATTATTGGCAGCCCATCTTTATTTCTCTCGATCCACGGCGGGATACTCCAGAGAAGATAAAGGAGTATTTGGCCGACTTCAATCCACGTATTCTTGGACTCGTGGGAACACAAGAAGAAGTGGAGGCCGCCGCTCGGGAGTATCGTGTATACTTTGCAATTCCAGATGAGGAGGCGATGAGTGAAGAGGATTATTTAGTGGATCATTCTATTATTATGTATCTCATGGACCCAGACGGGAAATTCTCAGACTACACCACTAAAGAATTTCAGTGGTTTGAAAGTTACAGTAAACTTCTACGACGTATGATGGATTATGAACGGAATAAAGTACAGAAACAGAGGGAACAGGGTGGTACATTAGAACCAGGTGAACAAGTTGCGAATATGAAAGTAGCAAACATCGCAACTGTATTAGATGAGGATGGGGCTTCGGCATTAACAAGTCGTCAGGATGCAATGCAGAATAGAGGACAACAGCCAATGATGACCGTACGGCGTTAAAGAAAGAAAGAAAGAAAGAAAAGGAGAGAAAAAGAGAAAAGAAGGATCATATATATATATATATATATATATATATATCTACAACAAAGAAGAAAAAAAAAACGAGAAGGATGGCTTATGAGTATAGATAAAATATTGTTTCTTTTGATTTGTTTCTTATTTCTGGGTAGTTTTGAGGAGATGAGAGACGATATCATCTGAAGTACATTCATTCTGAAGAGAGGTCAAACAAAAGAAAAAAGAAAGGATGAAATAACAACATTCAACATGGGTGAAAAGGGGGGTACGTTTATCTTTTTTTTCTTTTTTTTCTTTTTTTCTACACATACGTACTTTCACGCTAACCCTCTCTCTCTCTCTCTCTCTCTTTCTTTCTTTCTTTCTTTCTTTCTTTTCTTTCTTTCTTTTCTATCTTTGTTTATTTCTTTCTGATATTCCTCAATATCACCCTTTGTATTCGGCGTCCCTATCAGTTATCGCAAAAAAGAAAAAAAAAAAAATGAGAAACTGAGCCACTAGTAAAAAAAAAAAAAAAAGAAATTGGATTTGTGTGTAAGCGGGAGAAAGAGGAATTGGAACAACAGGTGTCTGAGAAAATGAGTCTATCGTGTAGATATTCTGTTCTTCACTACCAAAAAAAAACAGCTCTGAAGACAAGGAGAACAAACAGAAAAAGAGAAGAAATCTAAAGAGAGAAAGAGAGAGAGATACATCACACGATAAAAACGAATATCCTATATATATATATATATATATATATATATATATATATATATATTTATTTATTTATTCTCTAAAGAAGAAGGAGGGATATACCCGTGCGTTGTATTTACAACACACCGCCACTCCCCTACAACTCCAGGACTTACACGTTAGGACTGGTTCACAAAGAGAAAAGAAAAAAACAAAACAAAACAACAACAAAAAAAACATTTTAACACAAATAAATCCACACACTCACACACTCACACACATATACATATATATATAAAGCTTTACTAACCAGGAATCAATTTTTTTTTTTTTTTTCCTTTTCCCCATCAAGTCAAAACAACAAAGAAGAAGAAGAAGAACGAGGAATGCCCCACAATATCTTTGCAAACCCCAAATTGGTGTGGCACCCTATGCCGGAGGAGGTCCGCCAACGCGTGAAGTCCCTCCGCTGGACGAACAGTCGAGACGCGAAGGCGGCGGCGGCGGCGGCGGACCGCAAAAAGACGAGAATGACCGGCACCGCCTCCGTTCAAAATAGTCGAGGGGCATTCAACAGTGTTGAGTCCACACATCACCCTTCCCACGGTCAGCAATCTGTCTATCGCGGGAGAAGCAATCAGAGTGAATCTGCACAACAAATTGGTTTTGTTTTCCCTCCCAAACATGACAGTGGAATCGATTCTGCAAGTGAAGCCGGCCGATTTGAAAATCAGAAAAGTTTATTAAGTCATCAGATGCTCAACCGCACTCCCAGTGAACGCAGTAACTTTGATCCGAGCTTTAAGAGCAAAATGTCAGAGCAGAAGGATTTCCCTGATCACCGTAGCGTTGCGGAATCTCAACTCTACCCCGCTTCTTTCATGAATAACGATTCCAACAACAATGGTGGGAGTTTATACGGGAGCTGCAGAAAGACGAATATCTCTTGGAGTAAAATAAATGATAATTCTTTTTGCTTACAACGGGGGTTAACAGAGGAGAGTTCTGAGATTATGAAAACAAAACATACTATTCGCTTTCGTGGATTAAAATGGAAAAGGATTTTAAAGCGAAAACGTAGTGTATTGGAAGAAGCCCTTAAAAAGGATATATCAGCTGCTACTGGCTTTAACGAGAAGGAAATTTTCTGTCTGGACATTGAATTCAAAGTTGCTCTTATCGTTACTTTTGTTCTTCAACACAAGAGCGATACGGAGTCTAAAGAAATACACACTCTACTGCATCGATACGATTACGTGAATACAACCGCTTTGTATACTGCCAAAAATTAGGTCTTGTCGATATATATATATATATATATATTTGCAGAAATAGGATGATGATGTGCATATGGGGAATGATTATACTTGTCAATAGGACCTTTATATTATTGTTGTACCTGTATTGTAAGTAAAAAGGCAAAAAGACGAAAAACGGAAAACGGAAAAAAAAAACTATATATATATACATATATATGAATCGAGTATCATTCTGCAAAAAGCTAATCTGAAGAAAATGGCTTTAAACTTCTCAAGGACCAACTATGGTTTTTTTTTTTTGATGAATGGGATTCACTAACATCAATTGTGTCACATTGGAAGTCAAACGTACACACACTCACACACATACACACATGGATGTTTGCCACTTATATCCATCATTGAAACGATATAAAATTCTTTTATGCGTGTCTCTGTGCCTATTGTACAATAAGTATATATATATATATATATATATATATATATACACGGATGTGCGTTTGTGAAAGTTTTTTTTTTCTTCTCTTTTGTTTGCTAAAACATTTACTGTACCTCTGAATTTTGTTGAATTTTTTTCTTTCTTTCTTTGTGAGTATAGTATGTTTCATGGTGTCCAAACTCAATGTTCAAACTTGCTATGCTTTTTGTTTTGATTTTAAAGGGGGCGTTGATTTTGGAAAAGACACTGTATTATGGTTATTATTATTATTATTATTATTATTATTATTATTATTATTATTATTATTATTTCTGCAGCAGTGATGCCAGGAAACTGGGGAAAGAGTGTTGGTCAGGTAAAAACGAACTATCCTTTATCTATTGGAAACATTTATTCTTTTTTCTTATAGTTTTTGTGTGTGTGCGTGTGTGTGGGTTTCTTTTGCTTATCAAAACATTCTTTACATATATACATATATACGTATATACATATACGCATATACACATGGAAGGGGTTCTGTAAAAAAAAAATATATATATATATATAT